GGGGAGGGGGGAAGGAGGGAGGGAGGGCGGCGGGGGGCAGCTGGAGGGGGAGTGGACGCGGAGGCCCTAATCGAGGGGGACTTCGACCCACAACAGTAAGCTCATCGTTGTTGTATCGTTCTTGGTGTTGTTCCGGTTTGTTTGAGGTGCCCTGCTCTTAGGCTCAGGAGCCAGGGGTTGGGGATGAACACTACACATGAATTTTGAGCCCCCCGCGCCGCGCTTTTCTTGGTTTTGGTTCCCGGCTTGTCGCAAAAGGTGGGACGACGTGACGGGGAAGGCCTTCGGGGACGGCTACTACGAAGCCGAAGACGCCGACGACGACTGGAAACCCGGTGATGATCCACTCGAGGGCCTCGGCGACCTAGATCAGTACAACGCCGCCGAACCTGCTGCGGCCGAGACTGACAGCAACGCTGGAATGGTAGTCGGGGGCGCCGCTGATGGGGTGGAGGAGGCGGGGGGTGGGTGGGAAGGTGAAGACGGGGTGTGGGAAGGTGAAGAGGGAGAGTGGGACGAAGGAGAGGGGGGGGGCGAGGAGGAGGAGGAGTTTTCGGGGATGGGGGAGCAGAAAGAGCGGCTCTTGGACGAGCTATACAAGCTAGACTACGAGGACATCGTCGGGGACATCCCTTGCAGGTAAATACGTGTCAGCGTTCTTTTCAACAGTCGACAGGCATTTTTCCTGCTGGTTTCGTGTCGATGATCGGGGCCGTCTGCTTCCGTGATGACCCCGTGTGTGCCCTTTTTTTGTAGCACACGGACCTGTCACCCGCTCCCTTTTTTATGTTCCTTCATGGCTCCCGCGGCTGGCTCGCCCGCCACTCCTCCGAGCTCTTGCTTCCCCTCACCTCAGTGCACGTGTTATTTCATGTCCATCTTCGGTTAGGCGCCGGGTTAATCGCCTCGTTATTTGCGGGCTGGGCTATGGCTATGGTTTTTTTAACCCTAACCGTGTTTTGGTACGTTGGGGGTGTTGGTGTGGACGGGAGCACGGGACGCGCCTCCTGCACGAGTGCAACTACAAGCATGAATGCACGGCGTGCCGGTGTTGGTGCTTGACCTTTGCGGGAGTCGTCCGTCAAGGCCTGTCGGTTTCCTCACGTCTGGGGTACGCAGCTGTACGTGTTTGTTGCCTTCTCCTCAGATGGGAGCTGTCGGAGAGTATGCGCTTGTCTGCAGTCAGCCATGGTGGATTTTGTTTTGCACTTTGTTTCCGTCGCCGACGCCATCCGCAGGTTCAAGTACACGAAGGTGAAGTCGAACGACTTCGGGCTGAGCGCGGAGGAGATTCTTCTGGCCGATGACAAGGTAGCTTCATTCCCAGAAACTATCGATATTTGATGCCAAGAAACCATCGATATTTCAATCAGTGGTGTGGTAATGTTTGAAACCAGCATCGATAGATTGAATTTGTGGCATGATCGCTAAGTATGGCCTTCGTGTCGGTCGGGCTAATTTGCTTGACCGCCTCCATGTGTGCGCCGTGTCCACCTGCTGTATAGTGCATTCGGCCGGCAATCCAGCCCTCTCTTCCCTCCCCACGCTCCCAACCGAGACTCTTGTTTTGAGCATTCCGTTCCTTTTGAGAAGCCTGCTTGGAAATGAAACGCACCCTCAGCCCGTGGAATTTTTCCAATCCCTTTTAAATACGGGAATTTTATGCACATTGCTTCCATCCTACACACCCCAACACTCAACTTTGTTTGCCCTGTCCTCTCTACGTAAAACCGCCTCAATTTGTTTTTCTCTCTAGGAATTGAACAAGTACGTTCCCCTGAAGAAGCTTGCCCCCTACCGGAAGGACGAGCCGAAGCTGGACGCCCGCCGCCGCCGCAAGCTCCGGGAAGAGGTGAAGGAAAGAGAGGCGGCGGCGGAGAAAGAGATGCTAGCGCAGAGGTCGAAGAAGAGGCGCCGCGGCAACAAGAAGAGCACCGGAGGCCCAGCTGTCGTGGGTGGCGAGGCGGCGGCGTCTGCAGCGGCAGCGACACCGGTGGCACAGGAAGCGGACGGTGAGAGCGGCGAGCCTCGTTCGGTGCCGGCGGGGGAGGCGGCGGCGGAGCCGGCCGGAGGCAAGCGGCGGCGGAGAAAGAAGGGGCAGAAGAAGAAACGCGCCAAGGCGGGCGGCGGCGGCGGCGAGGGCTTGGACGCGCAGGCGGAAGCGGACCTCGTGCCGCGAGTGGTGGCAGTGGAGGCGCCACCGCCGCCGGCGCCGGCGCCGTCACCCCGGCAAGATCACGGCGCTCAAGCCGAGGACAACGAAACCACCACCACCAGCGGCGGCGGTGGCGGCGATGGCAAAAAGAAGAAACGAAGGCGCCGGACGTCGGAAGGAGGAGGGGCGGCGGAGGGAGAGGGCGCGCGGAACGGCGGGAACGCGAAGGAGGACGGCGGGGGCAAGACGGGCCGACGGGCGGTGGCCAAGATCGATGGCGGAGAGGGTGGGGGCGGTGGGACCGCTAAGAAACCGCGCACGGGGGGCGGAGGAAGAGGCGATCAGAAGGAGGGGGGTCAGGGTGGTGACAAGAGCCCCGGGCAGAAGAACAGAAAAAAGAGTGCGGTCGTTGCGGGGGTTTCCAAGTCTCGTTTGGCGTCATACGGTTTGTAGGTCGGCCGCGGTGGGAAAGTGGTTATCGTTTCCGGTGTGTCTTGATGGCACACGGTTACGGCGTTTGTTGGTCTGGAGCAACATGCGAACAAGGCGGGGTCCGCATGGCGGTGTTTCACGCGTACATTATATTGAAACCGAGAAACTGCTGTTGTCAAGTGTCGTTAGCGCGCTATGTTGTAGGAGGCGTTCTTGTCGTGCGATCTTGGTGCCTTCGTCTACATGTAGTAGCGCGTCTCCTAGCTCTTTTCGGTTAGGATTTCTTCGAGTTTTTGTTGTGTGGTTGGTGTGCGATGCGCAGGGTCGTGAAGAGCGTTCACCTGTAGCAGAGCGCATGTCTTTGTGCGGGCTAGAAGTCTCTCCACGTTGATCTTGGTGGACAGCAGAAGTTTTGCATAGGCCGGAAGCTAAGCACTACAGCAGTATAAGGTATGCACACAGCAGTACAGCAGTACTTCGAGAAAAGCATATGCATCGTATACTGTTGTGGTCGTGGTTTCAAACATGTGATGAAATTGCCAACTTGCCCAGAGGTCTTCTTCGGCTGGGTCCGGCACTTCAGTGGCCACCGCCCACTGCCCCGCGCAGGCGGTGCAAATTGTTGTAGATTCCTGCCCACTGCTGTGCGGAAAAGGTGCATAAAAGGACTGTGCCGCACGCGTTTGCATTCATTCGCGCCCGGAGCACACCTCGCCCAAAAATGTCTCTCTCCCGTTCAACCTGGCCATGCAGCCAACCGGAGGTTAATGGTTACTGCCACGACGCACAACGCCCACAACTCACAACCTACAACCTACAACCACAACAAGCAACTGACCACCACTCCATCACTCCACCACTGCCTGCCTGCATCACCGCGGCTTCACCCCAACACCCGCACACACTACACACAACACACCGAGTTCTGGTTCTCCCCAAGGTTCGGTTTTGTGGTATCAGGTATCAAGACACTTTGTTCCTTTTGGCGGGTTTCAAAGGTTCGGGAGGCGGCACGTCGAGTGCCGGCGCGGAAGACCGCCGGAAGAGAGAGGCGCCCCAGAAAAAAAAAACAGATCAAACCAGACTCGCTTGTCGTTGCCCTGTCGTCGTTGCCTCCTTCTGTGTGACGGAGAGTCTGGGTACCCTTGGCTATGGAACAGAACAAATTTGCTGCATCATTGCGACGAAAGGTGTCCGATCTGAGGAAGGCGAACGCAGGCAACGTCATGGTGAGAATCGATACGAAGCTTCGGGCGTCTCCTCTAGTGCGGATTGTTCGGAACAAATGCGGCAGCAGCGGGCTTGCCTTTGGCCTGACCGGCGTACAGATGAAGCTCGGTGGTATTGGCACGTCCCGTTCAAGCGCACTCCCTCCCTATCGTGGAGTGCACAGGTCTTATCAACACACATGTAGGTTATTCGGATGTTTCCTCTTGCTGCACGTGGTGGGTGTACTGCTGCGTGATGCACGTTCAACAGCCGTAGCTCTGCGAGGTCAGGGCCTTGTACATCCAGCAGTACCGCGTCTCTCCTTTGCCGACAAATACGTACACCTTTGCCAACCACACTTGCAGCATGTCATAAACGTGCTTTCCACATGGTACGACGGTCTCGCCTCGTTCAATACCCTCTCCTTTCCCCCCCGCTCGATTGGCTGGAAAAAGGGTCGATGTCAGCGGTTGACTATACCGGTTGCACCCTCTATGCGTGAGGTCCCATATCGTATGCATACAATCGGAGGTTCTACAGCAGTACAACTCGTGGCCGATACACAGAAAGCTACATAACGCGATACCCCACCGCATTTGTCCCGTTGAAAGTAGTGTCGACCGGGAATTAAAAAAAAAAGACAGCACCCTTTATTCATATCCCGTAGGCCACGCACCCATGTGGTGGCTGTGTGGTTCCAGCACATGTGTGTCGAACACCGGTGAGCCACAAGTCATCCGCAATTCATCCGTGCAGGAAGCGTTAGCGTCAACATTTTGTGACACACGCGGCTGATCTTGATACCGCTGTAAGCACGTGATGAAGAGGTCATGCGAGTGGCGAGCCCTCGTTGGTCTAATTGAACAATCGCTGAAGACCCGATGGACGCCCAGCCTACCATGGGGCATACGTGAAGATTGCCACAAATTGCTGCGGCATGTAGCTGGGTAATGGAGTTGTTTGGCGTTTTTGCTTGTCTAGCTCCCGACGTACATCTAGCTACGCAATATTAACCAAGAACAAGCAATAGTCTGGCTCCATCCACCGCCCCAATACGCTCCTCTGATGGTTTGCGTTGTTCCCGGCTGCGCACGAACGTCTTCGTGATGCCCAGAACCTCTTAGCCTCTTCAGGGGAAGACCCAATGCTGGACGGCGATAGCACCGCGATGGAGGAGGAGGAGGAAGAAGAGGGAGCAGGATCCCGAGAGGTGGAGACTTGCATCGAGTGCGAGGACCAGCACGCCGAGCTCGTATGTGTGTCCTGCGAGGAGCCGTTTTGTCGACCTTGCTGGGGCTCCCTGCACCGGTGAGCAGTATACCGTAGGTTGCATAAGATACCACACCCGTGTGGTAACATTTTCGGGGCGACAAAAGTTATCACATGGGTGTGGTATTCTGGGGGGGGTGTGATATATTATGTCACCCGTGTGATAAAGTGCACTCACAGAGCCCCACCAACAGGGGGTGTGATAACAATGGGGTGTGATACCGTGGCCCGTGTGATGAAGCGCGCTCACAGGACCCGGCTTACAAGGGGTGTGATAACTTAACCCGTGTTATGAAGCGCGCACGCAGGACCCGGCCTGCCGGGGGTGTGATAATGTCGCCCGTGTGGTTGCAGTGCGCTCACAGGACCCTACTTACGGGGATGTGATAGTAATGTCACCCGAGTGATGCAGCTCAAAGGAGGCACCCACCTACAAAGGGCGTGAAGGGGTGTAAAACAGGTGTGATAGCTAGGGTGGCTCACGCGACTCCATCACGTACATGCTTTCCCATGTGCGTTGTCGCAGTATCCTTTGGAAATTCTTCGCATACACAACGAAGACGTAGCACCGATGCCTCATAGCGGTTGTGTCGGTGTTGTGTGCTACAAAACGACAGCACACAGGTACCTGGACGACGCAACGACTTGCAAGACTCGCGTTCACCACTCAAGCTGGAACTACACAGGACGCAAGCAAGTGCCAGCTATATCTCAACCAAAGCTAGAAACAACATCCAAAGAGGACAAGCGACTACCGAAACATATGGAACACCGGACAAATTGGCTGGAATCGCAGCTTTGGTTGACTTGACCATGGCATGCAACTACGGTAGGTAGATACCAGACAAGACACTCAGTCTATGCAAACAACGTCCGCCCCCGGCAATCCTGCCATGACCTCGACCTCCGGGTCATCGATGCCTTCGCCATCTCCCGTGCTGTCATCGTCGTCGATTTCCAACATCTCCAACAAGTCTGCCATCGTCTTCCCCTCCTCCGATGGGCCAGCCTCCTCCACGCCGGCAGCAGCCGCGTCGCCGTCTGCACGAAATGGTTTCCCTTGGGCGTCGGAGTTGAGCTCCTTGTTGGCCCACGCCTCGTCTTCAGACCCATCGAAGGCAAGGGTCATGCCAGCCTTCCTCCAGCTCGAACGGATGCTCTCAGTGTACACTTCATCCCACGCTTTCTTCACCCACTGCGCGAGCAATCCCCTCGATGGGGGCTCCGGGTAGCCGCGGTCGTTGCGCACGGCGTCGGTGGAGGCCATATGGTCGTCGTACAGCCTTGACATGTTGGACTTGAAGAGTTTGTTGATAAATCCATCGCAAGGCTGGATCTTGGGCGTTGGGCCTCCGGGGACGAAAAACAGCGTTGTGTTGGACTTGTCCATCGCTTCCTTGCACAGGGCTGTCTTGTGCACGGTGTAATCGTCCCAAGATAGCAGCGTGTCCGGCTGACGGTGGTTGCCCAGGACCCCCTCACGACCCGGGCGCCGGTTCCATACTTGGGGGAGCCAGACATACCTGAAGACGCGCTGCGTGCGCCACGCCTTGTCGTCCACGGCATACACAACGCTCTGAGGGTATGCTACCCCCTTCTTGTCCTTGCCCACCTTTAACTCTCGTTCGACGCTGTTTGCAGCGGGGGGTTTTCCCGGCGCCCTGGGCTTGCCCTTGACGATGAGCAGCGGCGGGAGTTTGCCGTCCTTCATGTTTGCTGCAAGCACGGCAGTGATCCGCAACTTTTCCTTTCCACCGGTTTTGATGGCCACCTCTTTCTGACCGGTGTGCTGCGAACGACAAAAATAAAAAGCAAAATGCAAAGAGACAGCAGAGGCGACGAAAAAAGTCCATTTTGTAGATGAGAATGACAGCTCTTCACGCACAAACTAACATGTTAGTTTTGCAGTTCAGTGATGATGGAAGCGAATGGTAAGAAAATTCTAACGCGGCATACGCACAATACCAGCGTCGTCTAGCCTTCCTGGCTAGACACTGAGTAGGTATACGGCAAGAAATATGGCATCGCAATGCCCCACTGTTTGCACGGAATGCCAAGAATCGACAAGACAGGCACATGATTCAAAGCAACACTATTTGTACTCACCGCCACGGTCGACGTGCCAGCGGCCTCCATCCACACAGCAGTTTCAACCATGCTGTAGCTCTTCTCCTCCTTGAACAAGAGAGGTGGCTTCCAAGGCGCACTGCTCGCTGCCCCCCCGTGCCCCATCCCCCCCCACCGTCGATTCCTCCGTGACGAAGCGCCCTCCATTCCTTGACGGCTTTCATGGCAATCGCAGGCCACCCGGAAGGGATGTTTTGGCCTTGCCTGGCAACCGCCTGGAATGAAAACCGGTTATACTTGACAAACCTCCTGCACCAGTGAGTCTGCTTGTTGCGGTACTTTATTCTGCCCTCCAGGTCGTTCGCTGCAGGCCTCGGGCCGAACGAAAGCGAGTTGAGCGAATACGCCTTGTTCTTGATCATCCTTGTAGAGACGCGGGCAGAGATGGCTTCCGAACGAACATCGTTCATCCAGTCGAGAAGTTCGAGCTCGGCCTCCGCGTTTGACCGAACCCTCCCCGTGTTAAAGGACTTTACGCTCCGGGCTGGTCTGCCTTGTCCAGCTGCTTCTCGTATTTCGTTCTGTCTTTTATCCACGCTGAGAGTGTGATCTTCTCGTTGCGCATACGACACACCGATGGTTCCATTAGGCCCCTACGCCCCCGGGCTTTGCATGGTCGCGTACTTAAATGGCGTTTACTTTTGAGTTCCAAATCGTGCCGCTTGCGTTTCTGGCCACCACCAAACTTCATGGGGAAGCTCGGTGGCTCCAATTCCAGCGGCTCTCTTTTCCTCTTGGCCTTGCCCTTGCCCTCAGCCGGCGTGCCGTCGAGACGCCCACCGAAACCATCTGTCCACTCCTCTGACTCTCCAGGAAACATGGTGTCGCCGACGGGCGCCGCTGCGGCTGCTGTCGTCGGTGCTTCAGGCAGCTGCACGTTCCTGACAAGCGCATGAGTTCGAGGAAGCAACGAAACATGTAGCATACGTGTCGCGAAGTGCTGTGTCTGTAACAATGCGCTCGCTCCAACGACCATCAGACAAACGTACCAAAAATACGATGGCTAGCGGATAGCTCTGACAACGCCCGCTAGGTTGAGAGTCATGGCGTCCACGCTTGCAAGGTACAGAGGGTGAGCAGCTGACGCCGCCTATTTCGCATCTCACACAAACAGGCACGAGCTGCTGTCGAGGTTATGTTTCTATTTTCACGTGTTGGGTACGGGTTTCACAGTCTTCCCACCAAAACATCACGAACACAAAAAAAAAACGGTATGCGGAAACGTGTCGTGTGTGTGAAAGAGAGAGCAAGTAATCATTGCGCCTGCACACAATGATATATTTGAACTACAAGTAAACATAATGTGTACATGTCAAAATACAGTGAGGCGGGCGCGACGACACGACGTGAAAATCACTTTATTTTTTCCATCTGGCAATCGATCAGGCAATCAGGCGCGTCCTGTTCTCTGGTTTGCTTGAGCCATGAGATTCCTCACAAACACCCCATGTGCTGCAAACTGCAAGACGCTCTGCGCACACCTTATTTTGATGTAGACGTCGCCAGACTTCGCATGCCTGCCGAAAAACTCCAGCATATCCTTCCCTGGCTCTGCCCACAAGGTCTTGTTGGTGCACGATGGTTCTCCGCAGCGCGGTGCTGCTGCATGGTTCTCAGCAGTAGCCGCGCTCAGGGTGTTGGTGGTTGGCGAGAGAGCTGCCTTTCCGGGTGCGGGTGTGGGTGCTGCGGGAGTCTCAGCAGTAGGTTCTGCTTTGCAGGTTTCAGCGGCACCCGCGGTGGCAGGCGCAGCCGGTGCTGTGGGAGGCTCAGCAGCGGTAGATTATGTTGGGCGGGCCTCAGCAGTACGTGCGGTGTCATGCGCGGCTGCTGAGGGAGTCGTCCCAGCAGCCCCACGTTTCCCCGGGGCGGGTTCAAAGAAGGACGCTATGGAGCGTGGGGCCGCCGCTGGAGTCTTACCCACTGCAGTCTGAGCCGCGAGGCTTTCAGCAGGGTTGCTAACTGCACCATCCTCCACGGCATTGTTGGCCTCCATGGCCTTTGTGAGTAGGTTGTCGCTTGTGATCTCATGCCTCACGTTGTCACACCGTGTGATAGGTGGGGGCTCCGTCGATAAAATGCGGCCCAACTTCAGGGGTGTGGTATCTTATGTCACCGTGTGATAGAATGATACCTTTTTCGGGATTGAAAGAAGTAGCACACGGGTGTGGTGTTGTGTACGTTGTCTGAGGGGGTGTGGTATCTAAAGAAAGTGTGATATCATATGCAACCTACGGCACCAGCATGCTCGCCAGGGTCCCCCTCGCAAACGATCGTCTTTGCTTGTTTCCCGCTGCTGGCAACAACAAGGGAAAGGCACCAACACCGAGGTTGAGGTTAGCGGCCTTTGGAGGGTGCGTAGCGATGGAGTGTCGCCGGTGCAGCCTTTCGCGTTTTTGAAGCTATCCCTTGTTGCCGAAAGTGTGCCTGGCGCTCGTGTTGTAGCCAACGATCCGAGCGCTCGAGTGTGGTGCTTGAGTGTGGTGCTTGAGGCGTGGGGTTTCTCTACTTGCGCTCACCCTATACGCCACCGGGCGCTATCGAACACGAATTGGCAAAAGACGGAGCTAGACAACCGCAAGAATACACTCCAGTTGGTACAGCATTAATCCCAACCGTGACACCGAGGTACGTGTCCATCCATCCCAGCCTGTTGTGTGTGTCGCCAGAAATCTTCGCCAAGTGTTGGTAGAAGACAACGGCTGTTTTATTATTATTGTACCATCACCCCATTCCCAGACGCTTCGTCCTGCCGCGCCATCTCAAGGGCGTCTGCCGTCAAAGCCAAGTGATGGTTGATCGTACTGCTGTCAGTACGCACCACCGAGTTGTTGTTGCACACCCACGAGTTTCCTCATGCTCCTCTCGATCTCCCACCTTTTTTTGCCTTTTTTTTTTGTCTTATGTGCAGCCAAGGCAAGCGCGCGGAACACGTGACCCGGGCCATCCTCGGCGAGGTGATGCCCGCACCGACGGCTCCCACCTCATCAACGGAGCCCCCCCCCCCCCCCCTGCCCGAAAGAGGCGGGCACAACGACGTCGTAGGCGGCGGCAGCGAGCAGTCCGACAGCGAAGGGAGCGCGTGTGACGGTGATGGAGACGATGAGCATGGCGGGGGCGACGCAATCGAGAGTGGGTTGGGGCAAGGGGGGGGGGGCGGCGGGGGTCACAAGAAGAAGGGTGAGTAACGACAGGGGGGGAGTTGCCAACACAACAAAGTGGTACGAAAGTAAGGTTGATGATGTAGGCGTGCAAAGTCCGAATTTGGCCGCACTATGGGTCATGCATAGTATTAGTGCAGGTGTTTTCTGCGTAGGTTTTCGTGAGAAGGGGAGGGATGGCGCGCTACGTAAGCCCTTGCTGCGGCTGTAACTACTGTGTCGACCCCTGCAGTGTGCAGCGACATTTTTTGCGAGCACCTCACGCATGCGTCACACGTATGCTCCTCTCAAGGGCGCTTTCAGAACAGCAGTGCTGTTGTGTGTGGTGAGCTGTTCTTGCGATGGTGGCTAGTTGCCTAGAAAGCCTCAAACGAACGACGAACACGATGCATGGGTTTCCAGGACGTAGCTGTGCCTTTTAGCATGTACACACTACAGCCGGGGTAGAAGGGAGCGACCAACAACTCCCCCTCTAGCTTGAAGTTGGGGTGTTCTTGACAACCGCCAGTTTCACAGCAGGCAAGGTCCAACCTGAGTCTTGCGGATTGTTTGATCTCTCTCTTCCCGCATCAGTTCTCCCTGTTGCTTCACCCCTCAGCCTATCAACGCCAACGGGTCTGCGTCACGTTTGTTTTACCCTTACACCCTATGCTATCTTCGTCTTTTCGCCTTGAACGTAAGAAGAGCTCTTTCCTCCCGAGTCCCCGCCCATTTGTCAAGGATGCCCCTCGGGGAGGGGGAAACGATCGCACCCACCCCGGCCACAGTGCTCGATTCGCAAAGTGAAAGCGACGTTGCCAGTTGCTTGCGTCCTGGTGATGCGGCTCTCTCAGATTGCATTGCTTTCCTCGGTTTGTTTGTAGATTGAGCGCGGCGGGGACACTGTTGTTGGTCTCCTTAGCGCATTGACCCATGACAGGGAGAAGGAATGCAGGCGTCAGTTTCGCTGTTCTTCAGCGCGTATTGACGCACGAACGCAAGGGAATGAAAATCCTTGCTAATTTGTCGCGAGTGAGTGTGCACGTACACGGGTGTGGCGTGCTTTCATGCCCCCCCCCCCGCTCCGTCTCGAAAGGGACGCGTGGTCAATGGTCAAATGACTACGGCAAGCAACAAATGAGTACGCCCCCCCCCTCCCCCCCCCAAACACACACAAGTCCACTGACTGCTAGCGTGTACAGCAGTACTCACACGCGAGAGCAGCAAGCAGCAACTTCTGGCCCCTGTCACATCCACACCGAGACCAATGTCTACGATGGTAATAACAACCTCAGAGCACTTTATTTATTGATACTACGTCCTCGCGTGCACCCAGGCTGCCCCTGCCCCAGACCCGGCTCCAGCCCCAGCCCCAGCCCCAGCCCCTGCCCCTGCCCCTGCCCCTGCCCCTCACAGACCCGTTTGGGGGGGGCTCCCTGAAGTCGGTGGACATTTGCGTGCCGGGGGCGAGCAACCATCGCCAAGTGCCGGCAACGGGACGGGTGGATGGAGACCGTGGAACGGCAGGGCCACGCCAGTGGAACCTGCCGCCGAAGGAGGGCGGGG